ATACGTCCCAACGTGATATGAGCGTCTTTAGATTTGGATTTGGCAAGAGATTTAACAATAACTTCTTCATTTCCTATTTCAGGATGAATACGAACACCCTTAAAAAATTTGACATCAAAAAAGAAGCTCACTACAATTGGTGATAACTCTCTATCATTCTCAACTAAAAAACCCAACATTTCTGGAATTTGAAAATGCTTTGATATTTCATTCAATCGATCCTCGCATTCTTTTGTTTCAGGTAGATTGTTTCTATGGACAATATTTCCTAAATTTTTGAAAACCAACTTAGTAAGCTCTGTGTTCAACAAGGACTCAACCAATTTTTGAACAATATCCACTACTTCCAAAGATTTAGAATCTATTGCTCCACGAACAATCTCATCAAGTGGACGTACAAGTGTCTCACTAAAAACAGAGGGCAGAGCAGGTATGTTCAGCAAGGCCTGAATACTGTCGGCAACCTGTAAAAAATAGTCCTGCTCTTTCATACATTCAGCTACTTTTTGAATAACCTCGAGAGCTTTTTCTGAAAAAATACTTTCTGTACAACAATACTTAAATGCTGCTGTGAATATTTTCAGATAATTAACTTTTGGTATTGGATTGAGAGAAAAGGCTTTCAAAATCTTGTGCATTATCTGAGAGTCGTATGCATAATCAAATGTCAAGTGTTTGGCACCACAATTATATGCCTCCTCTCTTACTATTAAAGATTCCCTTTCTAGCAATGGCAATATAGCTTGAACAACATTCTTACATCTAGAAAAATTTCTGTTGAAAACATGTTAGCAAGAAATAATATGATCCACTACTAACCTTTGATTATTACTCGGTGATGAAAGAGCTCTCAAACAATCTATTACTAATTCTTCATCAGAATATTTCAATAGTCTCGTTAAGAAGCTTGAAATGCTTTCAACAATATTATTATCACCTCTTTGATCAATTATTTCCATTATAGAAATTATCTTTCTAACTCTCTTGTACTTTTCCTCTTTTGGAAATATTTTGATGCTTTCTTTTTCTATAACATTGATATCATATGAAACTTCCTGATAGAGAGTAAAGAAGGGATGTAAATCTTTGGCTGATTTATAAGCCTCACGAATTGAAGGTATTTTTGGATTGTCTATATGTTGATAAGCAGTCTTTCCTAATCTTGTTATACACATTGATCTTTGATCCTCATCTTTTGACTTGTAAATTAAATCTAATAATATGCAATCCATGTCATTCATATCAATATAACTACCTTCCCAGTTAGATGCATTATAATAGGTAACTATTAGAGACTTGAAATGTTTTAAGAAATATTTGACCTGTAAACTTGGTACACCTGCTTCTGCAATCTTGATGGTTGCCACAAAGAGTGAAATCTTCCAATCAGGTATTTTCATTGATTGTGTGGTATAAAGTGTTATTGGCTGTTCAGTCTGACCTATTGCCACATTCAAGAAATTTAACATGTTTGTTCCGAATGTGGAATCCAAACAATAGATATGCTTTAAAAATCCTCTTGCTGTGTTCTGGTTATTTTCTTCAAATAGGAAAGCATTCGGAAGTGCCTCGGCAGCCATCATACATATTTTGTAATTTACAATCATTTCATCATCACTTGATTCAATTTTAAAAGTATCATCTTCAGTACAGCCAAAACTCCACTCCTTTCCATTTGATACTGTTTTATACATTTCAATTAAATTTTGTACAAGTGTTTTACATGGCTCCTTTCGGTAAGAGGCTTGATTTATCACTCTATTTCTCATCTCCTTTAAATGTTGTAATAATTCCTCTGATGTATATGTTGGCCAAGCCTCTGCCTTTTGATTTATATCCTGTTGAGTTTCATCAGAGTAATAATCAGAGTCATCATCACTCGAAGAATAATCCCGTCCATGCATATGATAACCAAACGAATGACCAAATCTTCGCACCAATCCCATATGATTGAACATGTTGTATTTTCTTTTGTTTGATTTTTTTCAAATTTTAAAAAAAAAATTAAGCGCGAAAATATTGTTATTATATTAACAAAATATTATGTACTGTCTCGGAAGTGAATTGATCGTTGTCGGAATGGTTTTTCA